GTCGCATTGCCATCAATTGTGCATCCGTTCTCCTTAAATCCGGGGTCAAAAAAAGCCGAGTAGCCTTGCATCAGGAAAACAAACGACCTTACTTTGAATTTCGACCATGCATCATTCCAGGTTTGGTGTTCTGTTCAGAATTTTGTTCGTCTGCAAAACTCATCGTCGCTGAAAGTCGTTCACGCAACTGCAGTCTGTTTGTTATGTTTTTGTGTTTCTTTTTATTGGTTTCTTGTGCGTAGTTGAGTCGGTTTTAGGATTGTTTTAGCGTTGACCGGTCCATTTTATCGTTTTCCGTGTGTTTTGTGTGTCTTTCTTTATTTTTTTATATTTTTGGCGTACTTTTCTGTATTTTGTGGTGTTCTTTCAGGTTTATTCTCGAGGGTGTCGAGAAGAGTTCCGAGAGACGAGATTTCCAAGTATTCCGAGTCAATGTCGAGAATTTCCGAATCATTTAGCTAGTCCATTCGATCAAAAGTCCCTAAGGGTGGCCGCACTCGCGCCCTCGACCCGCGTCCCGCGCCCCGTGCCGCGCCTCGCGAAGATAGCCGCGAGGTCGAGAGTGTTGCCCCGTCCAGCTCGCGCCGCGCGAATCCTCCCGCGAGCTCGAGAGTAGTCCCTCGCGCCGCGCCCGCGACTCGCGAAGATAGCCGCGACGTCGAGAGTAGTTCGTTGCCCCGCGCCACCTCGTGCCAGGCCCGTGCCTTTCCCAGTCCGCGCCGCGCGAATTCTTCCGCGAGCTCGAGAGTAGCACTCCATTGCCGCGCCCGCGCCCGCGAATTCTTCCGCGAACTCGAGAGTAGCACCAAATTGCCGCCCGCGCCCGCGAATCTACCCGCGATATCGAGAGTAGCCTTTTCTCTCGCGCTGGTCCCGTGCATTCCTCGAGCCAGATAGCGCCAACTCGCGCCCGCGCCCGCGGAAGTCCCCGCGATATCGAGAGTATCCCATTTAATCTGCGTGCTTCTACTGTGTGTTTTTGGAGCTGGACTATATATATGTTTTGGCCCTTTGTAATTAAACATCTAGATTTCATTTGCTACTTTACTCTTTTTGGTAATGTCTTTGGTTTTTAGCTTTTCCTCTAGATTCTCTCTAGCTTAGTATTTTCCGGCGAACTATTTCCGGCAACTTTTTCCGGCAACTCTCGTTTTTATGCAAGTTTATATCTTTTTACTCCGATTTCGACTAAGCATGCATTAGGAATGTGAGTACTTACTTTTAAGACTTATATTTTCGTATTGTGCACCTAATTAGCTATCTAGTTAGTAGAAGTGATTAGGACTTGCTCGATTATCGGATATGTTTGCTCGTTTAGTCATTTTCCGTGCTTTTGTAATTTTTGAGCTTGTCTATTGTGCTTGAGTTTGTTGAAGTGTGAATTTCTACTTGAAACATCGTGACTATGATATTGAGCTCGGTTATTTCGTCGTAGAATTTTCGGCTTTAACTATTAAGTGTAATAGATGGAGTTCGTTTCTTTTGTTTTAGCTCGTTTTTGTTGATTTCGGTTCTCCGATTTAGTAAGCTAGAGTTTCTAGTATAATTGCTTAGTTAATTGCTAGTTGCTTACTTTCTTAGTTAATCTAGTGCTTAATCAATCTTCAACCAATGAATAGAGTGTTTAGGATTTATTTCTCTCGTTTTGTGTTTTTGGACAATTGAATAGCAACCAAAGCTCCGAATAGCCTTCCTTAGAGAACGACCCGAGTCGGGTAACTCGGTTACCACATACCCACAAATCTCTACTAAACAAATGGCGCCGTTGCCGGGGAACGAATGGGTGAGTCCCGTGCATGTTGTCCCAAAGAAGAGTGGGATCACGGTAGTTGAGAATAGCAAGGGTGAGCTTGTGCCGACGAGGGCCACGACGGGATGGCGGATGTGTATAGATTTTCGAAAGCTCAATGCCGCTACAAGGAAGGACCACTTTCCCTTGCCGTTTATCGATCAACTCCTTGACAAGCTAGCCGGACATCCCTTCTATTGCTTTCTTGACGGCTTGTCGGGGTACTATCAAATCCCAATCGCCCCGGAGGATCAACCGAAGACCACCTTTACATGCCCCTTTGGCACATTTGCTTTCCGGAGGATGCCCTTTGGACTTTGCAATGCTCCCGCCACATTTCAAAGGTGCATGTTTTCTATCTTTTCGGATATGATTGGTGAATTTATTGAGATATTTATGGATGATTTCTCCGTTTTTGGTGATTCGTTTGTTGATTGCCTTGATAAACTTGATAAAGTGTTGAAACGATGCATTGAAAGTAATTTGACTCTTAGTTGGGAGAAATCGCATTTTATGGTTCCTAGTGGTATTGTCCTTGGGCATGTCATTTCTTCTAAAGGGATTGAAGTAGACAAGGCAAAAATTGACGTGATTGAACAACTCCCTCCCCCTCTTAATGTGAAAGGTGTTCGAAGTTTTCTAGGGCATGCCGGTTTTTACCGGAGATTTATTAAAGATTTTTCAAAAATCGCCCGACCTTTATGTGCTTTACTTGCTCTTGATGCTCCTTTTGATTTCAATGAAGAGTGTATGCATGCTTTTAATGAATTGAAGAGAAGATTGGTCACGGCACCAATTGTGATGCCCCCGAATTGGTCTTTACCATTTGAAATCATGTGTGATGCCTCGAATTATGCGGTTGGGGCCGTTTTAGGTCAAAAAGTTGAGAAACGCCATCATGTTGTTTGCTATGCTAGCATGACCTTAAATGAGGCTCAGGTTAATTACACCACAACCGAAAAGGAATTCTTAGCTATTATCTTTGCCCTTGAGAAATTTCGTGCTTACATTGTAGGATATAAAGTTGTGGTGTATAGTGACCATGCGGCTTTGCGGCATTTGTTAGCTAAGGCTCAATCTAAACCTAGGTTGATTCGTTGGGTGTTACTTTTACAAGAATTTGATGTGGAAATCTTAGATAGGAAGGGGTGTGAGAACGTAGTTGCCGATCATTTATCACGCCTTGCTTTACCTTCAAATTCTTGTGATAAGCTTGATCTTGATGATGCATTTCCCTACGAGCATGTGTTTATTGTTGATTGTGTGCCTTGGTATGCCGATATTGCTAATTACTTGGCTAGTGGTATCTTGAATGACGACCTATCCTTCCAAGAAAGGAAGAGATTCATTGCTAAGTGTAGGTACTTTATGTGGGAAGATCCCTATCTTTTTCATCTTGGCAAAGATGAGGTCATACGACGGTGTGTACCCGAGAAAGAGCAACAAGCCATTTTAACCGCGTGCCATTCATCGAATTGTGGAGGTCACTTTGGAGGTCGAAAGACGGGATTCAAGGTGTTACAAAGCGGATTCTATTGGCCCACGGTTTTCAAAGACTCTCACGCGTTCTCTATTTCGTGTGATCGGTGCCAACGTTCGGGAAATATTGGGCGAAGGAATGAGATGCCACTTCATACATTTTTGCCGGTTGAGATCTTTGACGTGTGGGGTATTGACTTCATGGGGCCGTTTCCGATATCTCATGGGTTTGAGTACATCTTGGTTGGGGTGGAGTATGTCTCCAAGTGGGTAGAAGCTATTCCGACTAGGAGTTGTGATGCTAAGGTTGTGGTGAAGTTCGTTCAAGATCATATCATCAATCGTTTCGGTTTCCCACGGGCAATAATTAGTGATGGAGGCTCTCACTTTTGCAACCGGGTTTTCAAGAAGCTAATGGAGAAGAATGGAATAGCTCACAAGGTTGCCACCCCTTATCACCCTCAAACTTCCGGGCAAGTCGAAACGAGTAATAAGCAAATTAAGGCGATCCTCGAGCGAACCGTGAGTGCCTCGAGACGCGATTGGTCCCAAAAACTCGGAGATGCATTATGGGCACATCGAACGGCTTACAAAGGTGTCCTTGGTATGAGTCCATTTCGTTTAGTGTATGGGAAGGCGTGTCACCTTCCGGTGGAAATCGAGCATAGAGCATATTGGGCTATCCGGATCCTTAATTTCGAGCTTGGTTTGGCCGGAAAGGAGAGACATTTGCAAATCGATGAATTGGACGAGTTGAGAAATGAGGCGTATGAGAATGCCCGGATTTACAAGGACAAAGTAAAGAAGTGGCACGATTCGAAGATTATAAGAAAGGAGTTCTCACCCGGGATGAAGGTACTTTTTTTTAATTCTCGACTTAGATTGTTTCCCGGGAAATTGAATTCAAGATGGAGTGGCCCTTTCGTAATCGAGGAGGTTTTTCCTTCCGGGGTAGTTAAACTTTTCAACCCAACCGACAAGACGACTTTTCAAGTGAACGGCCACCGGGTGAAGCCCTATCTCGAGGGAGAAGCCAAGGAAATCCGAGTACTTTATTCTCGGCTCGACGAGCCAAATTATTGAGGAATTGACGGCTTTGTCGAGCTCACGACATTAAACCGAGCGCTTCGTGGGAGGCAACCCACGTTTTTATTTTCTTTTATTATTTTCGTTTGTTTTCTTTATTCTCGTTCTTTTATTCTCTTTCTTTTTTTTTACA